GTTTTAGGGTAAGAATAATCACTGGAGAAGTGAGACCTGTGTGACTTGGGCAAGTGTTGGGAGATGGGTTGTAGTGAAACTTTTTAAAGGGTGAACAAAAATGAGAGGATGTTGCATCATAATGATACAAGATGAGAGTGGATAGCTGGGGGGGCAAGAGGGGAAGTCTTTATACATGATGCAGTTCTTTTAAAGAGCCACTTCTTTTTCCTACTGCTGTTGCACTCGCTCTGCCAGGAGAGCCGTGTCAGTAAGGCTGTGGAAGTAATGATTCAACATGTGGAAAACCTGAAGCGTATGTACGCAAAAGAACATGCAGAACTTGAGGAGCTGAAACAGGTCCTGCTCCAGAATGAGAGATCCTTTAGTACTCTTGGAGATCGAGGTATTTAAGAAAAGCTGCTTCATCCTTACTCTTTCTAGCACTTGCCAGATAGAACCTTATCTAGTTGAAGCTTAAGATATTAGGTGGAGGGGTCATATGACTGTTGTATCTCCTTTCCTAAAAATAGAAATTTACTAACAGTATTAGAAACAACTCTCTGAGATTAGACTTGTATGTAAACTGTTGTGAATCTTGGGGCAGGGAGGGGAAACACTGCAAGTGTGCAATAATGTTCTGGCTTTTAGAAAAGTGCATTGGATGTGATGGTGATAATCTTACTCCTTGTGAGCAGTAAAGCTGTGTGCTCACTCACCCTGGAGAATTCCCAGTAGTTATTTCTAGGTAGCTGAGCTTTGACTGCTCTCTACAGGTGCTTCCTGCTCTTTTTCTAAATATGAATTACAGACTCCATAAGTTCAGGTGCTCTGAATTTCCCCCTCTAAGCAGATGGTATAGTGGTCAGGTTTTCAGATGGCACTGTGCACTTGTGGTTTTGCCAGAGAAGGATTAAACCCTTCTGAAAAGTAAGCATGCATTTTAAAAACAGAAAGGGCAGTCTTGCACATGAGTGAAATGCTCACAAGAGCTTTCTGGATCACAGGTTATTCCTTCCTGATTGTAAAAGGTTGTTCTGTAACAGGACACTGCCTCGATAATAGAATACATTTAATAATAGCAACAGAAATTGATGCTTGTAGAGGATGTATCATGTGCAAATATTAGGAAATAGAAGGAATTTTCCTGAAATCTCATTTCTGTTTTCTGAGAGTATTCCAATACGCTCTTTGCTTAAACAGATACTGCAAAAAGTCAGATCTCTAGCTGCAGATAAAGCTCACTGCATCCCTGTAAGCCTTTCTGATGTTTGATCTCTTCACAGATGAATCTACGAATAAAAAGCTACCAAATTCTTTTAACTTTAAGGTAATGGCCCTTACAGCCTAACTTGAAATTTCAAGTGTGTGTGTGTTTGTGTTTTTCTTTGCTTTGTCATGTGCTGGTGTTCTGCTACACGCTTGACTTTGTGGTTTTTCTGTCTTGGATATGGGCTGATATCATCAAACACAAGGCTGTATTTTTCAATCACCCCTCTCTCCCCCCACCAGCCCAAGGGAACTGCATGTGGGCCCACTTAGAAAAGTTCGCGGAAGCTGAAATGGCTGTGCTCGCATGCAGTGGTTAAGAAATATCGTTCATGTGTGGTGTTCTCATTGGGGTTAAAGAAGGGTTTAGCAGAGAAAGTGGAAAAAAAATAGATGGGAGCAATTCAAATTCACTGTGGGAATACCTGTGAGTGCCATTAGGGGAGTTTAGGCACATTCTGTGTATACACCAGTTTTGCTATTTTGCTGGAAGCTGTCTAGCCAGCCTTACTTCAGATGTTTAGGGGGCGAAAGAGCAGTTAATGTGGAAATATGCTGCTTTAAAGAGTATGATTTGGGCTGTGCTTATGATTTGATTCTTCTTTGTATTCAACTTCAAACTAAGTATCAACACCTTTTTTTTTTTTTTTATATGGTTTGTAAAAAAAAAAAAAAAAAAAAAAGAAAAAAGATGGTATTTTATGTGATCAGTGAGTAACCCAGTCATTCCTTGATAGAGTCAGTAATGCCTCTTATTTGTATAGCCATCATCATCCCTACGAAGAGTTAGCATTGCAACATTGCCTAGGAGTGCTGGAAATGCAGGTATTGGGTTGCCGTTGGTAAGTAAGGGTTCCCAGATGGTGAGGCGCTTTACCTTCTCAAAACTGGCTGGACTGAAGCGAGGAAATGCCAATGTGTGTCAAACTTCTTCTCTAGGCCCAACTCCATGAACCTGATGGAGATGAACGGAGTGATAAATTCAACAGGAGATCAAGCAGTTGGTAAAGTTACTTGGTCTTGTCTTTTGAATAGGGTTAAATTGTTCAACTCAAACCGTGCCTGTATTAAGCAGTTTATGAAGCATCTTGAGGTATAACAAAATTTAGTCTGCATCTTTTGCATTAATTTTGCATGCTTCAATAGGTAAATGAGCCTTCATGACTAAATGTTACAGCTTTTTAACTACCTCTACTGTCTTGCATTAGAACTAGAGTATGAAAACAGGCAGCTGGCATTGATGCCTAATTTCAGGCAACTAATTTTGAAATTTGCTTAAGGCCTACTTGCTGCTGAATTCCTAATTTCCCGCTGTGTATCTGATGGGGATATTAAGGCAAATTTTATTTAAAATATGACAGGGGGCGACTAGGCGCAAAGCAAAATGAGAAGCGTCCTTCGCTACAGAGGTTCATTAGCACGTATTCCTGGGCAGAGTATGAAGACGAGCACTCTGAAACCAAGTAAGTTCAACAGCAACCTTCTCCAAGGTGCATGTGCAGGGTTGGTTGGTTTGTTTGCAATGAACTCTGAACTGTCCACCACCTGGTCAGGGCTACAGTCAAGCTATTGTGAGCCTCTGTCAAACTGAATGCTTGATGGAAAAGCTTTGGAACTGATGATGCTTTCTTACAGAAACGAGCAGTCGGAAACACCTGCTGAAGTACAAGAGCCACCATCCAGAAAGGAAAGTGTCTCTGAAAAAGGAAAATATTCATCAAAATGGAATCTAGAGTCAGTGTAAGTTGTTTTTTTTTTTTTTTTTTCTCACGTCACTGTGAGGTAAAGCAATGTTTGGGTGATGGACATGGGAAGCAGAAGCAAAGCTGTAGCTTTGGTTTGGTTAATGTCCACTTCTTAAACCAACTGGGAATGAGGAGTCTCAGGTGCTAGAGACTCATCTCACCAGGGATTCATGGCTAATCCTAAACAGTGAGGTAAAGAGGAGCCTCATGCCATGATCCCACTTTTGGTTACTCTGTGACAGTTATAGCTAGGCTACTAGGTCATGCTGACATCTAATCTTGTAAAAATGATCAAGGAGTTGAGGCCTGGGCAAAATTACCGGCAGCTTTGGCACACACTGAGGCACAAGTAACTATCAAGACTAACTCCAGACTATGCCAGCTAATTTCTCTGAATATCTCAAATCAAGGAAGAGTGTGCTGTCCTAAACAGGTATGCCTTGGAAGGCCCCACCTTACAGGAAAGGAGGTCTGCTGTCTCTGCAGAGAAACTGTTTATTCCATATGAATATACAAGGCTAAGCCACCCCTGTGAGCGTTCCTGATCAAAGGGGAGACAATTATGCTAGTGTGTAAAACTGAGAAGACAGCGAAAACAAATATTTTTTTCTATTGTTTGATAAAGTATAGAGGTACCCAATGTCTTAAGAGGTCTAGGATTTGATAGTCAGTGAGGTTAAGACTTCTCCTTAACCTCAAGGAAGGCACCAAAGCCCTAGAAAACAATAAAACACAAGGCCAGCATTTCAGTGCTTTCTACAGGCAAGATGTCTTGATGATCTGCAAAGCTCCTTTTGTGAATCCTCTTCAGAAACAGTGTGTGGCACAGGGACAGTGGGTGGGCTTAGGAGTTGGGTCAGTCACCTAAATAGCTGATCAAGAACGTGCTTACTGAAGTCTGGGTTTTAAACCCAGATCGTAAGCCACCACTGTACATAGCTCCCAAAACAACCTTGTCACTTTTTGTAATTAAGGATCTGTATGTTTGTGGGTTGGTTTTTTTTTTTTTTTTTTGGTGGGATCTGGTTTGCTTTAGGGATTTTGTAGAGTGGGAAGAGGGCTTCTATATTTTGAAGAAAAACTGAACCACTGACTTGCTCTTCTGTGCAGGTGCAATTTAATGTCATCATGGGCATCCCATTTCAAGACTTCCTTTTCCAGTGCTAACAAAACTCTCTGGGTTTCTGTCTCCATCCTGGTACTCCTTGCTGCTCTTACAAGCTTCCTCACTGGGCTGTCTCTTCAAAGACCAGCAGACGCAGCACCTGTAGGAACTGGGGACTCCTGGACTTCACTACAGCAGCTGCTGTGGCCATATACAGGACTTCAACACAACGGACCGCCCCCGGTATAACAAAGGTTCTGACTTTTGTAGTTATACTTCCAGGCTCTGGATGACAGTATGAGAAGCTGAGATAGTATATTTAAGGTTACACGTTTGGGTTTGTTTTGTTGGGTTGTGGGTGTTTTTTGGGGAATTGTGTTTTTGGTTTTTGTTTTTTGTTTTTTTTTTTTTTTCTTCCTCTGAAAGCATGACTTGAAATTTAAAAGATTGATATTCCCCCCTGCCCCCCTTCTAACAAAAGTCATCTTGACAAGTACCTAAAAAGGGTCCGAGTTCCGTTCAGGTTTACAATAGTAACAATAAATATGACTAAGTGGTTTAGCCACAAGGAAATAAAGAACTTATTTTGCTTTAACAAAAACAAAATGTTTGCATTTTAGTCATTGAAGCTGTTCCAATGATTTGAATAGAAAAGGATTCAAGACTTGAAGTGTAACTTTATTGAAAGCTTTTGATAATAAAGTTTTAAAGGAAAGCATACAGTATTTAAGAGTATGTTAAAACTCTTGTAGTCAGGAGTAGCTGATATACAACATCAACAAACAGGAAGCTAGCTGTCTCTACTTTATCAATTGCTTCTTTGCTGGCGAAGTCCTTAAGCATATGGTAGAGTGTAGAGTGAAATTCAGAATTATCATCTAGCTCTTCTGAAAAAGCTTCACTGGTTTTGGAGATCTTGAGCTTTTGTGCTTTCTGACCATTAAACATATAGAGAGACCAGTCTTTGTCAGAATCTGCTTTAAGATGCTCACTTACCTATTGCAGAAAAAAAAATGCGGTGTAAGAGGGAGCCCAGGATACCAACAGAGTACAAATTCTAGTACAAAATTCTAAATTCTATTGTATTCATGAGTGTAATACAGAAACAAAACCAAGGCGCACTGCTTTGAACCCCTAAAACAATACCAGCTCTCTGCACCTAAGACTGTACCAGGTACTGTATCAACACCACCACCTCTTCCATCCTGTTTGCCTCTGCAAAAGGCAAGGTCTGGCCACTCCTCCTGCTGCTCCTGACTCCTCTGGAGAGAGCAGCTGGGTACAACAGGCATCATTGTTTTAGTTCTTGCTCCTGGGATTAAGTATTAGGTGAAATATTTGTATGTTGCATGCATTTAACTCAGAGTGGGAGAGCTGCTCAAGATTTCAATAGTATGGTATGTTCTGTATCTACAACCACAACTTGGGAGTATTTTTCTGTCTGTCTGGGAGAGGTTTTAACCACATGTGTTTTAGTTCACAGATGGAAACAAATCAATGCTCAAGTTGCTTATTCCCCCCTTTACAGTAGGGAACAAATGAAACCCTATATGGTCAAGAAGAAATATCCAAATATTAATTACAGAACTTACAGGTCAGAGGACCCCTACAGCAGAGTACTTCACAAAAATCAGGATCCAGCTCTCATCCCAGGTTTGGCTAAAGCCTTGATAGCTGGCTTATCAGTTATACATCCTAGCTGATTAGCAAGTGTCTTTGTTACTGACGTGTGTCCCACTGGAGATGTCACAAATGCCCGAGCTGTGAAGCAGCAGAGAAGCAGGCTCTGAAGTCTTACTGACACACACGAAATGCTGCTAAGTAGTCAACCCCGAATCTTAAAACTGCTGCACTAGGAGAATAGGCTGGGGTTAATGTCTGAGATGTGTGTAACTTAGTTAATTGTTTCCGTTGCTGTAAGAGTTCTGTGCTGGTTTTTCTTCAGAAGTTAGACTAAAATCCACAAACCTTGAACACTACTTTTTCTTGACCTGCTTCTTGATTCCACTTGCTCCAGGCAAAAGCAAAAGCAGATGCAACCAGTGCCATCTGTTGATAGGCCCTAACTTCTGCTAGGGGAGCCTGTAATGCAAAAGTACAAGTCAAAATATACATATATCATTCAGTTTAAGTCCCTGTGTTACACAAATGTGAGAAAAAGCTTGCTTTAACCAAAATCCACTGGTTAAGCTGGCAGAACACTTGTAAACCTGCACACTTGTAAATCACTTTCCACTTGATTCTATACAATAGGTCTTTACACAATAAAATGTTACCTAAGTGAAAAATAGGTGGAAGAAACAACAGGAAGATCATTTACTGTTGTACTCACCTTCTCTTTCACAGAGAGGTACTTGTGAGAATACTCTCCTGGGAAAATATTCACACCAGCCTTTTTTAAAACTGCTCTTAGGTCAACTGGATTTAACCATTTTCCTGTGATGTGGGAAAGCACCTCCTTCTCTTCCACCACTACTGAAGACAACATACACTGATTACCCTGTTGTACAAACCAGTGAAAGCAACTTACTGGTCATGAAAGCTATTTTCTGCTTTAGGCATCAAATATTATCTTGGCTGTTTTGGGTATTGTATATATTATCTACCACCCTGGGCTGTAACCACTCACAGATCCTAAAGAAAGCCATTTTTCTGCAGTATTTCAGAAATTACACTGGTCTGTGTCTTCATATCTGTTACAGAACTGATTTATACGGCAATGAGCATAGGGATAATCGTGTGGAACTTGAACCTTTGGAAGGAACCAGTAGCAGTATGAAACAGTATTGCTTGAAATGCTTTTATTTCTCTTGGTATAGTTGGGAAGGAGAGGGGAACAATTTTTAAATCTCTAGCTAGTGAAACAGTCTTGAATTCAGCAAGGTACTATCACTATCAAAACACTTACTGGAACTTTGCAGAACAGGCATAGAGATGTTTTCTTCTGATTAGTTCACAGAAAATAACTGAAATTAAGTCACCAGGACTGTTCCTTACAGGGCTTGGAAAGGAAGAGAACCTCCCTCATTTTCACCAGGGCAGAGAGATTCAAATTGCACTTGTGGAAGCATACCCAGTTCTTAATAAAGGACACTATAATAATTCTATATATTTTAAAAAATCTGCAAAAGTTTTATAAAAAATAATTATCTACACTACCTTAATTTGTATCTGAATTGTTGCAAAGACTGAAGTAATTGTAAGTTGTGCTTCATCCACACCCATGGGTCGCAGTTCCCATGCCTGATAGGGCATGTTGAGATGGGCATCCTGGAGAAGTGCTATTGTATAAAAGGCACCCATCTCAAAAGTGATCCTCTTTTCTTGTGTTCCATATGTTATGTTGCTGATGTCATCGGTTCTCCACTGTTGGCCTTTACGAAAGGGATGCAAAAATACAAAGATGTATAGGTAAAGCTTCTGCTACGTGCTGGGGAAGAATTAGTAAAGATATCCTAGGTTAACTAATTAATATCAAAAGTTAATATAAAATATTAGGCACAAAATGGATGAATTCTCTTTAAGGCAAAAACTTCCCTTATTTTAATTGTCTTTAAGAATAAGAGTGGGCTAATTTTGACAGGAAAGCTTTTCCTTAATCTCTAAAGAGCTACACATGCTAATGTAACTCATTTCTTTCTTGCTATAAGCAGGCCACAAGCTCATTTTCAAGAGTAACTTCAAACATCAAACCCTTTTACTGGGTTCTACTCTCTTTTATGAATGTAAAGTCAGAGGTATGTTGTATGCAATAACTAGAAATCACATTTGGTTTTTAACATTTCATTTTCATATTTAACTTGAATACATGTAGTTAGGAACTAATTTGGATCAAATTGGACTTTACCTGGCTTCATCCTAGCAAAACTTCATTTGTGGTATACAGTTGTACTATTTCCCATTAAATGGTGTATTTTTTTTTCATTCATATTAAAAAACTACAGCAAAAAGCCTCAACAAGCCGTCCATTATTAGCTATGGTGCAGAAGCAAACTGGAACCAAAAAAAACCAAACCAAATCAATTAACAGTGAAGCCCCCAAATTAGTTCTGGGCTCCGAATAGACTCTTATCTTTATAGCTGGATTCCGGAAATAGTCAAACTCAGGTATAAATTCCATTATTCAAGCTTAAATTTTATGTTCTAAGCTTATACCTGCAGGATCCCATCGGGCTATCACAGGATCCTGAAAATACATCACGTTATCAGAAAGCCTAAGGGTTATCTGTATTGGCAGATGTGTGGCACCTTCAGCCTCTTCTGGGGGATACGGGTACGCCTCCAATCCAACCTCGAGTAACTTTGGCAAGATGGGAGAAAGACAGATAGCATTTTTATTAGAAAATGCATTAGCATACTTTTTTTTTTCTTTAAGTCTACCTAATCACCTGCAGGGTTTCCTAGCACACCCTTTAAGATGCATTAGTATTAACGGTTTGGCTAATATTGCATATCTCCAACTACCATGCTGAAGCCAGTAGCAGGGTGACTACTGCCCAACCTTTGAACCCTTCCTGTGCTGTCGATGGAACCCTTAAGGCAGTGCCACACAGCAGGCATAATTCTTTTTTAATAGATCCAGTCTCCAAAAGAGCCAAGAGAACCTGCAAGGCAAAAGCAGATATAATTCTACTTTGTCCACACAGCGTCAAGGGGAATGAAAAAGGCCACATGTGTCTGGTAATGCAGGTCTGTGTGCTCAGCTGGGAACAAAGATCCCATGCCTCTTGATCTGCCCCCAGTCCTAGTTGTTTAGGTTGTACAGGCATTTTGCTTGCTAAAAGTTTTTCAGCTTCACAGTAAAAACTGTGATGTAGCTTAGCGCTGCATCAGGCCCCGTGAGTGGGAAAACTAGAACGATGGCTATAGTCCTCAAATATTTACCAGTAATTTTGTTACCATCCTGCTTTAAGTGTACCTTTCACATACAAAAAACTAAGATCTTCTCCCCTTGGTTTTACTTTGGCCAAGAGCCTTTTCTAGCACCATGATCTGTGCCAGCCATGCTGAGCACTGCCTGAGCACACCTCTAAGTGCAGGCTGATTTGTGTGTCCAGCCCCACAAGCCGCTCAAAAAATTGGCCAAGTGTAAAAAATTGGCCAAGTGTAACTGAAAAATTATTTGAAAACTTGGTCCTTTGCTGCTCATGTACACTGTGTATGTCCAGTGGTGTCACACCTCATGACCAGCTCTTGGGGGATGAGAGGGAAGAGGCCTGCATGGGGTGTAACTTCTTTCCTCACCTCCACCATACTCCAGTCCTTGATTTGTTTGACCTGAGGTGGAAGCTGCAGAGCATCGATGTGGTACACACCACCCACTGGCACAAACTGCTGCAAATCAACAATGTTTTCATCAGTTATTGCCTCTTCTTTTTCATTCGTCTCATCCTGCGTCACTGGATCCTGAACTAAAAAATAGCCAAACAACGTCAGTTAAAAGACAACTGAAATTTCCTACTTCTATTATTTTTCACTTTTGCACAAAAAGCCCCTGTGCTTGAAGTGCTTTACCCTCTGCTGCATTTCAGCACCATCTGCTGGAGTTCCCCAAATCTTTTAACAGTTAATTGAAATGTAGGAACAAACAGACAGCTAGACAAGCAAAAGCACTTTTGGTACTGAGCTTCTTAACAGATTAATCTCTGCTCTGACTTTGTAGTCACTTCCAAATGCTTTATATAGGAATATAGTTCTACTGACAGAATGAGTCACATAATTAATCACAAAGGAATTTCACAAATATACAATAGAGTAGGTTCTGGACAGGTTTTTCTAAGATTGTATTGGTATGAAAAGAAATGAGGCGAAAAGATATAAGGCCCTTGCGTGTCATGTGCTGCATGTGAAAGATGGTATTTGTGAAAAGCAAGAGGGATTTAACATGAAACAATTTTCAGATAATGAAGATAATTTTTTTTCCTATGTATATTCACGTATACATTACATAAGGTATGAATTTAAGTTTTAATTAATTGGAAAATGTTATTAGCAAGCATCAAAGTCATGGACAAAAATGCCTAGAAATATTTTCTTTTTTTTTTTTTTAAAAAAAAAGCAGCCACATTACACATTGCACTGAATGTTACAGAAGGAGGCTGGAAGTTACCGTTGACAGGGATCAAGAAAAATTGATCAATACTGTAAAAACAGTTACTGTAAGTGTTATGAAATTTGCTTTCAGAGGGTGAGATAGTCTCAGAAAATGACAAATATCTATTTTAAAAATTTGAAGACAGTTTATAAAACAAGTAAAAATGGTGATAATTTTATAATGTCAGCTTCAGTTGCGTTATGCAGAAGTTTTATTCTACTGTTATTCACACAACAAGGTAATGTCCTTTTGCGGTTATTCTGAGCAAAAAATTTAAAGGAAGTAAAATCCATTTTACCAGCAGCCACAGAGGTAGCTTGCACTTTAATTTGCATTTTAAAATAATACTACAAAAATATTTACGTGTCCTCTAAACAAAACTATTAATTCTCCCAAGCTAAATTAACTTCTTAACACTGGTACAATGAAGTTAAATCCAGTGAACTGCAGTAGTTACTCTTTTCCCTGCTGTTTCATTTCTGTTTTTTATCTCTTGTCTACCTGGCTGCCTCTTTTCACTGCATTTGTGGTAACTGAGTATCCTTTCAAATTCTATTCTGCAAAGTGGTTGAATGGGTTTGCAAATCATTAGCATGACAGGAAAAGCAGTTTTATAAGCCTCCTCTCATTAAAGGAGATAAACAAGCTTGAAGACATTCAGGTATAATTAGCCCACTCCTGTGCACATACGTTTCACTTAATATTATGGTAGGGATTTTCAAAGTCTTACTGAAATAAAATAGTAAATTCTTCCAAATGAATCCCAAGTTCTTTATATTCTCTTGAAAACCACCTTGACTGGGTGGTCTTTGGGGTCTAGCCTGACAGCTGGTTGCTTGGACTGTGCTCAGCAGAAAGTATTGTGGTGTGGGGTTTGGTTTTGTTGTATTTTTAAAAAAAAACCAAAGAGGAGGCTGTGCAGGCCAGCTAAGCTATGCTGAATATTTTGCAGTTGTTTTATTTAAGACAGTACAACAAGAAAACTCACTCTTATTAAGCCAAAGGACACCCCAACACTGAAGAAGTTTGTAACTTCTGTGGGACAGATAAACAGTATCAGTTCCTAGAATTAGACCCTCTTTTAAAAAAGCGTATCAGTACGTATCTCGCTTTAAGCACACATATAAGCAACACTCAGTAATACCTACGTTACCCGAGTGCCCACTGTTACACGCACTTGAATCAGTTTTTTCTGAGGAAGTCAATCTGCCAGATTCGTAAAGTCTCACCCACATAACATAAACACATGCATAATGATACACAAATGTACCTAAACATAATAAACATATACATGAACATAAACATAAATAATAAATAAATTAAGTGTGGGGACAAAATCCATTTTCCTAGTTGTCCTATCTTCTCCCTGCATTTAACAATCATTAATGGAAATGTCAACAAACCTCAAGTGTTATCAAAACATCAATGTATTTAGAAATTCTGTTCCTTTCTCACAGAGATCTAGATCACAGTGTTTCTGTATATACAATAAATTTAGAATATATATGTATTTCCAACTATAAATAATTTAGAGTAAGTACTTTTGCAATGCTATACGTAAAAACTAACCAAATACCTTGTGATGATATGGCCAAGATTTCTGATTTTTTCTCCATTTCCTCCTCTGTCTCATTTACATCAGCTATGATACTGCTGTTTTCTTTGAATGAGACAGCACTCTATATAAAAATCAGAAGACATTTTTTCATTAGTCAGAGACAGACACAATAAAGAAGAGGGTACCACCTCCTTCAGGGACACCTAAGGAGGGAGACTACAGTCCCGCTCCTTCAGCAACATTTGGCACCGATCTTGCTACAGGGTCAAGGTGTGAGGAGAAATTTCTACTCAGCTAGCAAAACCAGTTTTAATTAAAGGTACTCTCCAACTTTGGAACCAGATACATAAACAGAGATAAACATAAAATAATTACGTCATTTCCACTGCAGATTTCATCTCGAGCTCCCGAAGTACCATACGAGCACTTAACCTTTTTAACAGTGTGTGCACTCACATATTATGTTTATGCCGGCTTTACATCTAGAAGAGTGACACAAAAAACACTTAAGTCAATGTTGAATCCAAAGCCATACTGAAACTCTGCCAGAACCCCCACTTGTAGCCTTGGGCAAGGCACAGGCTAGGATATTTATTCCCTTTCTCACACTTTTTTCTACTTTCGAAACATTACCCTGGATTTCCAGCCAAATTTCCAGCCCAGACACGAATCCCTCCCTGGAAGCACAGCAGCAGACAAGCAGCGGTCGGTCCGAGCCCCCCCGGGCCCACTGCCCTGCCTGCCAGCGCGTGGCAAGAACACCCACCTCCCGCGTGGGCACGACAGCCGGTGAGGGGAAAGAGGCGCTAATGCCCATCAGCGTGGGGGAAAGCAAGGCAGAGCCAGACAGGAGAGACTGCAGTAGCTGAGAGAAACGGAGTCTTCAGAGGGAACTGGAAAATTCACAAAACTGGACCGAGAGAGAAAGACCTGGAAAAAGGAATGAAATGAGGAGCTTGAAGAAAGTCTGAAAAATGTAGGTGAAAATGGCCAAAGACGAGGTTTGTCATACAAAAAAGAAAAAAGGAACCAAGAAAAATGGGATCTCAGGCTCTGATTCACTAAAAGGTGACAGGGACTGAAAAGGAAAAAGGCAAAGATCGTTGCTCCGAACATATTAAGACAGCATAAAACATGGTATTTTACAGTTATTTGTGCAGACATTTTAGATAGAAAACCCGAGTCACTTGTAAGCAGGTCACAGATGATACCGAAAGTGAAAAACCCAACCCCAAAATGAGGAATACAAAGCCAAGCAACCTCCACAACACCTAAAGCCACCACACTCCACTGAAGAGTGCCGAGCACCAGCTGTCAAGAACCAGACTGGGAAAGGCCTCCCGGGGCAGAGCTTCCGCGCGCAGACACGGAGCAACCAAGTAACTGCACAGCCAAGACCTGCTGAACTCCGAATCCTATTCTGCACGCTGCAAATCTCCCTCATACTGGATTCCCACAGTGATTCTACAGGACTGTCAGAAGCAGAATCCATTCATCTGGATGTCTGTCACGTATTTATGGCAATATCTTACCATGGCACCTGACAGTCCTCATGGCTTGATCCTAAACTGCCAACCAGATGCCAACTCACGCACACCAACAGCACAGCCACTACCACACCCTGCCCAAACTTCCCTTCCTACCTTCTGTACAACAATCGTTGGTCATTCATCCTTCCATTCCCTCGAGAAGATATATGACACAGGATTAACACAAGCTGCCTTTTTCTATAAAGCGTTGAAGCACCTGGCTCCTCCAGCACAGGTCACATTAAGAAGCTGTTACACTGCGACTGGGCCTCGAGTAACAGCAGCATTGTAGAACACCCTTTTGTGAGTTTTTTTTTTTTTTTTTACATACCTTTCTCCCATCAGAACACATTTCTCCTTCAGCAGGCCTGCTGGGCTCTTCTGCTTTCTTCTCCTCTTCTTCTATTTCTACATTGCCTTTTGAATGACGAGTTAACTCTTTGCTATCCAAGACTTCCAATTTTGGCACACTCTGACACTGCAGCCAAAGTGGAGATACGTGATCATAATGAGTATGCAATATGCGAACAGCAACACTGCTCACAGCCAGTGACTTTGGAAGATCAAATCCATGCTGTGCATCACAAAACACGTGACTTTTGAACCTGTAAATAACAGTTAAAAAAATTATACTCCCTGGTAAGATTGGCAGCACTTACTTTTATATTTCTTCTTAAGTATTCAAATTGATGTTCTACACTAAAAGCCACCCAAACTCCCTTTTGTCGCAAGGCACAGTCTAGGAAATAGAGTGGGATGTCATGATACACTTCCTGTCCTGTACTGACAGTTGTTTTAAGTAAGTCCCTCCAGAAAAGCTGTAACTGCATTAAGGGGATCAGGAGCTGCAAAATTAACAGTCGTGAGAGGATGACAATGAAACAGAATCAAGCGGCAGCTCTTCTGACACAGCACATTCCTGGTAAAACTGACTAATTTAGTGGGCATAGGTGAAGTCATCAGCAGTCTGTGTTACATCAGTCTCAGCATCTTCCACATAAAACCCCAAGAGATACACAGATGTAAAGGTAATTTTCATCATCAACAGTATTACACAGCCACCGATCCTTGTGACAGTGTAAGACACAGGCTAAGAGCAGGCACAGGAGGCAACTTGCATCAAAACAATTATCTGTTGTGAACTTGGGTTCTTTCATCAGGTATGCAAGTTTGTTGTTCACTGCAATTCCTGCCCAACCAAAGGCAGGGCAATTCAAATAATACCTATTTTCAGATAAGATCAGCAGATCACAAGTTCTAAAAGTCTTCCAGTAAAGCAACATTTATTTTTTAATTCTTGGTTGAAAATTCTAAGTGCAACTCTAAGCTGACCAAAAGGTTTTAACACTAACCCCTAGTGGGCTCTTCCTCCAGGTCAATCTGACACCAGCCTTCCAGTTACCATAGCAAAGATTACAGCAACAGGTCCTTAGTCAAGGCAAAGTCCTTTCACCAATTTATTCCTCATATTTGCAGAATGGGAGTAGGAAGTCCACTCAGAAAGCTTGTTTTGAAAAATACATCAGTTAAATGGTAATCTAATAAAAAAAAATAATCTTAGATTCAGAACCCACTATGGAGGATATTTGCAACCCAGGCTCTAGAATCTTTTATCTAACAGAGAACTGAACACAAAGCATCATTCATTGCTTTGCAAGCAACTGTAACAGCTTAGAAACTACTTATTGCATCAGCAAGAAACATTACTTCCAGAGGAATTTCAATTCTCTGCATGAGTTTTACTGTTTTCCTTTAAAAATCGTTCTGGCAGTAAGAGAGTAGCATGTTAAGAAACAAATTATATATTTATATATATATATATTTATAGGTATGTAAAACACTCCTGTTTCTTTAACAAAATTCTGATGTAGCCAGTATCCTCCTTAGTGACAGGTTGGTATGAAATCCATCAACTGGGAGCCTGTAAAATGAATGCTATTCAACATGAAAAAGATTATGAGAAACTGGTTCTTGGTGTCTACTCAACTTGGGTAGACAAGGCCAGGCCTCCTTTCAAATTAAGAATTTCAGTATGCACTACCTTATGTTCTTCTTCAGATTGGCCCAAATACAGAAAGTAACATTTTTATCCTTTATGACTGCCTGCATATTTCCAGTTTCAGAATCTTCATACATATTAGGTGTCTACAAAGAAAAAAGCAAATTAAACCATGTTTTCTTCTTCTTTATATCACTCTGATTTACTTACATTTAGACTTGCATAAATAAAAAAGAAACGTAGGAATAAAAATACACCAGACCAAGCTCAGGTATGTTGTATTTATGTACTAAAATATGACAGTTATAAACTCAAATCTCTTTGTTAAAATTTGAACTATGTTCTTTTGCTTCCTCTGACTTCATCATCCAAATACGGGATCTTACACTACCCCTTTCAATGGTACTGCCTATCTCCCTTAATCACATGCCCTCAAAAATACTTCTCAGGACAAGCTGGGGAAAAAAAAAAAAAAAAAAAAGACTCACTGAGCAATAAAGCACTCCTGTGCCACAGTCACTGCACAGATTATGATTATTTTTTTATTTTGTCAGTATAAAACTTGTGAAGTTTTATATGAAGGAGTTTAATCCTAAACTCAGTAAAGACAATGAAGAATTCAACATTTCTTAATTTGCAGAGAGTTTTGACTGTGAACATACAACTGGTTCACTATTTCCTTTACTCCTTTTCCTTTTTTGTTTTCTCTATCAATACGCTTTTGCTAAACATACTTACATATGATTAATATACTTAAAATAGCAAGCAAGATCACTACCTATACCTGCAATCCAGAAAACTGATTCCCAAGTACATTTTCATTTTCTTGTTTAAATATTCTTTACTCTTCCCAAGATCTTTGTTTAAAAAACATTTTAGTCATACGAACTAGTATTAAAAAAATGTGTACAAGCTAACCTTATGACCTGTTTTTCAGATTTGCAATTTTTTGAACAGTCAACTAGCTTTAATTTAAATCACTGAGACAAAATAGGAAACAAATTTCATATAACATCCCTTGTTTTCAACATCTCAAAATCTCACAAAATTTCACAATAATTCAATCTTAATGCCTTAATGATGGGAATTTCCACCATAAAGCTCAGATTTTGATGGGTTTTGAAGAATTACAAGTCTGGTACCTGCTATACACATGATTCGGAAACTCAGATGCTAAATCTGGAAACTCAAATACTAATCTCTGTGACAATTTAAGAATAAACAAAAACAGCCACCACACTTGTAGCTAACCTTATGTGCATTGTGCATATTGCAACTTTGAAGTAGTATATCTTACTTTAAGCAGGTGCTCTGTAGCTCCATTGTACTTCTGATGAAGCAAATTCTGCAATTCCAGAATAGATTGCTGGTACTGGACTGTTTCTTCTTCTGTTATCTCCTTTGCTGGTGTGTCCAACAAAAGAAACTGCAATTTCTCGATTAACTAGAAGACATTACATATGGGAAAAGTATCTCTGTTTTGCCACCACACTTAATATACTGTGTTCTGTCATAAAAAATGAGGCCAACTCACTTCCTTTGTACCCAAACATATCTTAGTCCCCAAAATAATATTTTTCTATTATATTTCTAGAAATTGTGCTAAGCTGGCATTATCAGATCAGATTCCAGGGTCAAGCCTGCCTTCCTTCATTACTCTAGTCCAATTGCTTCATCCCTTAACTTGTGGGATGTGAAATCTTAGCTTATGTAATAGATCATTTATTGAACCAGACTGGTTATATGAGGAAACCTTTTGGTCAAAAATTAATTTTAATTAAAAGTTTACAGCTTTACTTTGGAACCATATTTTCTGTAGTAATAATCTCAACTATGAAATCTAAAAAAAAATAAATAAAAAATAAAATATAAAGACATACAGCAATTACATTTTAATTCTCAGAACAATCCTTAGCATGGAGTTTGGAACTCTGTCATAACATTGTCTTCCACTATATGCTAAGATCTTAACACTTAAATGCTTGTATAGAACTAAAAAATTCCTAGTTGGCCAAAGTGACCTGCAGCACTGAGACAGAAGATTGGATTATATTTTATGCCTCCCAGACTTGCCAGATTCTTCTTCCTCTTAGCCTGTGGAATCACAGTGCTACTGCTCATTAAAGGTGTGGCGAAGCAGAAGCAGAATTGTAACTACTACTGTCTTTTTTATATTGCACCTTTAACATGGTCTACCTCGACAGTGGGGTGGTCCCCCTCAACTCTGAACTGCTGATCTACATGATCTCAGAGTTCCAAGTGTTCAGCAGTCACCTCTAAAAACATGCAGAACAGGAAAGTAATGCTCAAGTGTTTTAGACCAAGAGAAGACAGACAATCTTTTCGACATCACCCTGAATTTCCGATAGGGGCGAAACAAAAATGCCTCTCCTCTAGTATCACATCATACCCTACTGAGCATATGGTGTAAGGCAGTATACATTGACAGAACCTGAAGGAGCTGTAGCTGCTTCATTGTTGGATGGGAAACATACAGCGGGGGGAGGAGGAAGTGCGTTTGTGGAAAAGATGTGACAGCAGGAAGAATGGTGAGAAGGAACAGAAACGGGCAATTGCCAGGCTTGTTGCTCGGGTAGCAGTGTAGAAGGGAAAGGGAGGAGTTATCTGTTGAAATTATTGGAAAGGAGTAGCACATTCTCCACTGGCTCAGAAAAAGGCAGTGTGCGGAAAGCAAAAACCGCAACGCCCAGCAAACGTTGCAAGATGGGAAATCTAACACCAGGAACCAAACCAGCCCAATGAAATCTGTATTACACGTGCAACTTTCACCCTCAATTTCTGAGAGACCCCATTTAACTTTCTGAAAAACACTATAAAGCTAGCATAAATGAAAATAACATTCTAAATTTACAGAGCAGCCATAAATTGCTTAAAATTGCTCCACGAGCCCTCAATGGTTGGTGGATTTCAGGAACTCCTGCTCTTCCTTGACAACGTAGTGGCTGCGAGTGTTACACAACAAGGCTGCTGTCCACTGAAGCACCTATATATGACATGAGCTCATATGTTCTGGCTCAAGACTATTTAAAATGTACATAGCAGGGAAGATGGATGATGGAATAGTAGAGCTCAGTGTAGAAACATTACACACAAATCCCTTAAATGCACTACATATTTAAAGTCAATCAGTCAACATCTTTAGAGTTAACAATAAATCTGTAATTTAAAAAATGTAAATACTGAAGAAAAACTTATGGGTTTTAAAGATTATAGCCAAATTCAGTCATATGGCTAAAAAAAAAAAAAAAAGGGGTGAGGGCTGTTAAGGATATGTTCTGGTAAGCTTAAGCTGAAAAATACCATTTTACCATTTTAACACTTACATTTAGCACCTGTTCCCCCTTCTCCATCACAAGTTGAACGTCCTCATTTTGATCTTCACGCCATAAACTCATGAAAGTATTTATTTCCTGCAGTACAGTTGGGTCAGGACTTCCATCACAACTAAGGTATTGCTCCCACTACAGAAAACGTTCAAAGAAAAGTAGATACAGGCATGTGGTGCAAATCACTATCATTATTACAAGAAAAAGGAGGATTCTGGAAGACAAATATATTATAGTGGTACATTCACACAGGACTGTAACACCACCTGGGTTATCACTATGCCAGAAAAATATGGTTTACTTTGATATTAATGTGTTAAGGTACCTCTGCCCACCTAACATTTGCTGTATATACTTACTCATTTATCAGTTGTTTCTGTTCTGCTAGGTAGAGCTTGCATGTCTACAAAAGCAATGAATTCAGTACCTGCCACAAATGAGGGAATGAAAAAATAAATGACTAAGAACATAAGGAACTGGTGCAGGTGGAAGAGGCAGATGGTTCTCAGATCAGGTACTGCCAACAAAACTGAAAATTCCTACACTGGCAATAAAGCTGCTTAAGAGCCTTCTACTCCAACATGTTTACTCCTCCTTTCTCTGCCTCCGAAGGAGATTTCCTCCTCCTTATCAGCACCAATTCAGCTGTTACAAAAACCTCCGGTAGGAATCTGAAACCCTAGATCTTTTTTATTTTTTTTTTAATAGTAATTTTATTTCCAAATCAATTATTGGTCATTCTTATAGGTGGGGGAAGAAAAAAAGAATCAGTGACAGGCTAGACCCACTTAACTCTACACATGAGCTTAACATTGGCTCATGGGATCAATTTATCACCTATAATGTAATTTTTTTCATACATATAGTAAGATATTAAGGAAACATTGCCTCCGTGTTTACTGTGAAGATTAATAACACAACATTACTGTATATTGCATTAAAATGTAAAATGGATCTTCTAAAGCAAAAGCACTTGTGTAATTGCATTCCCAACCACTTCCATAATCATTTCCACTGACTTCAAAAAAGCAATAAAAGTGAATGCTCAGTGCACTGGAAACTCCTGTATAAAAGATCGATCAGTGATTTCTTCTTTTTTTTAAACTTTGCGTTTACAAGACACTTCACTTTCACCAGCAGGAAAACACATCCTTAAAAATAACAACACTTGTTCTTTGAGAAAAATTATAAATTTCATGATAATTTGTAAATGTATCTGTTAAACTGAACTGAAATTGTTCAGAAATGCATGTAGAAACTCAGCATTTGGCATTATATATTTCTTTTGCCCTAAATATACATTTAAATGTGTATATAAACATGTACATCCAAACATAAATGTACACAAATACACATGCCCCCAAAATACAAACTCTGGTACTTCCCATAATCTGTTTTTAGTATAAAATAAAAAATTTATACTGGTTTTATTTGAAGGTTTATTTTTAAAATAATAGTTCTGGTTTGCCATTCCTTTTCAAAACAAAACAAAAAATCTTGTGTTTCTCCTTCCAAGAAATACTCTCCAGAAACATCCATAAACAACAACTGTCCCCTTTCAAAGCGACCAACAGATTCTCTTGTTCACAAAGAAAATAAAGTCAGAGCTCGTCATCAACTGGAAAAGGCAATAAAAACTATCCAGAGGTGCCAACACATAACGGTGAAGTTATCCCGCTGCACCCCTGGGGCAAGGAAGGCTAAGGGCCCGGCAGGCTACGGGAGGAGGAGCGGGGCCGGCAGGCCCAGGCCCGTTCCCTCCCCAGGCCCCAGGCGCTGCGCCCCGGCGCCCCTCGCGCGGTATCGGTATCGGGGAGGGTCCCCGGGGGGGGCACGAAGATGGTTAGGGTGCTGAAGAAAATGACACAATGAGGGAAGGCGGAGCTCTGTTAGTCTGGAGAGGACTAACAAACGCAATCCTAACAGTACCTAGAGAGGGCTTGTAGCAAAGACAGAGCACACTTTCCTCAGAGGCGCACAGGGACGTTGTGATAGGAGAATTAGGCAACGATCACAAGCTGTAACAAGGGAAATGGTAATTGCATTTAAAGGAAAATTGTTACAATGAGAGTGGTAAAGCAGTCCAAAAGGTTGCTTAGAGATACTGTGGTATCTCCACCCTTAGCCATTTTCAAAAACCAACTGAGCACCTCAATCTAACTTAACCTGCTTTGTGCAGGGGGTTGAACTACATGAACTTCAGAAGTCCATTCTAACATGATTTATCCCATGATCCTGAATTTGTTCCACAGAGGCTTTATGAAGGGTTAAGTGATATATAAGACAAAGAGAAAATCCTTGTGTCCACAAGTCTTAAAATACTGGAACCTGGAACCAAATATTGGTTCCAATACTGGAACCAAACCTCATATCAAACTGTTACTGAATGATGTTCCTGCAAGATGGATTCACAGGAGTGAAATGTTCTACCAGTGTTTTTCCATATCTTACTATTTAAAATTTAACTTTACAGGTGTATAGTACTATTGGGTGATGATTCACCCGCCATGTATGTCACCCTAAAAACATTAACTCTTAGCTGCATTTTCATATATTTCCAGCCCTGATATCTGACCTAGATTTGTGCCATGTCCTTCAAAGTTTTGGCCAACCTCTCTCCGAATGACTCGTGATACCCAGTAACCACTGGTACAAATGTTGTCAATTGTCTCAAATTCTACAAAAATATTTTTAAGCCCTGGTAGAGCTTTTTAGTGGTATGCTTAAAAGTAGAATTAATTAAACAAATAGAAAAAGGACAAATACTAGAATATCTGAAATTACAACTCCTCTTGACTGCTGGGGTAAGCTGTGGGTCCCTAATACTTTGATCACCCAAAGAGGCTCCTCTTTGCCTGTGTTTCTTTTCTGTGTACACCAAACTATAGAAGAGAGTGAGCATGGCCAGTTACTACCTTGAGATGGAACTTGAAATACAGTTGTAGCACACACCTAAACTCAAGCAATGGAAACTCCTGGATCCTGTAACAGAGACATACCCTAAAGTCTCTTTGTTGTCGAACCTCTATGACACTGGGCAGATTTTGGAAAGAAAGCTCACCTTCGCATATGCTCTATAATCCGTTTTCCACTGCTGTGCAGACAAAAACTTCTGTTCCAGTGAACAAAGTTCTGCTAGTTCAGATTCCCTTCGTTCTTGATACTGTAAAAATATATATATATATATCTCAAACAGGAGTTAAATATTTGGTTTACTTCTTAAAGTTACTTTACATCAAATAAAAAATGTGGGTTACTTGAATGAGTTACCATTTAAACAAATCCAAACAGATAACTTGCTTTTTTATGAAACATTTAATTGAGAAGACTGCAGTAGCTCACAATGTTACTGTCATCACATTAGTTGCTGAGGTATATGATAAACACAATGTGTCACATGATTGTTAACCTCTCACTTTAATAGTTTCCATATTATCATCCTGGAACTAGCTCTAATGAGAGCTGCTAAAAAATGTAAGCATATGTTGGAAAAATTTGTGCAAGATCTTTTTCTTTTTTCCTTATGTCATTATTTTAAATTCCTATTCTCCCTAGGGGAAAAAAAAAATATTCTGTGAAGGGCAAGAGGCACAGACAAGTGTGACATTATGAAAAAAAAAAAAAAAAAAGGAAAAAAAATTTTGTAGTAAATCCCTTTTAAAAAAAAAAAAATCTAAATATTACCAATCAATTTTTGTTCTGAATTTCAGTCTTCTCAGAAAAATAGATATACATATTCTACTACATACACACATATATACAGGCATACACAAAAATCAATGTATTTGCCCTAACATGTAACCACTTACAGAATTTATACCAAAATGTTCTTGCCACAGCTGTACCAAATGTAATTATGGTGAACACAAAAAAATACATCCAACTGAAAGTATAGTGCTAATGGGAAAAAACAGGTATTTATTCAAACTGTAATATCACATATCACAAAAGGTAATGCATTTAACCACAGCATCTCTATGTATCAAAACCAGGCAAGACTATCTCAACTCAGGGAATTTTTCTGAATCAAAGCAACAATAAGCCAAACATTTGCTTAGTGAAAGAATACTATAGGAAAAAATTTCAGCACCTTTTCCCTTGACTTTACTTGCATTATGTTTTATTACTAATCCAGCTCACTACCTTCTCAATTTGTGGGATCTTGTATAAGAGTACCTTTCAGGCACTCAGCTCCATTTTTCATAATTCATTTTAATCTGGTGATGCTAGAAAATTTCCTTTATATTGTTCCCAACACCAAGGGCATAAGGAAATTCATTTATATTCTCACACTAAATTATTAATGTTTTACAGACCTTGTCACAAGTTTAGAAATAGGATTAGATTTTTTCAGTGAGTACAAACTAACTTTTGCCTCAAGCTTTTCCATCTGCTCTCGTTCAATTCTCTCCTTTTCAAGTCTTGATGCTTCTTCCTGAGCTTGAAATCGGGCTTCCTCTGAAGATTGGGAAATAGATCAAGAGTATAATTATATTTTGCTTAATAAAATGAGACAAATTATTTTGTTATTAGCTGTAATGACAAAACAACCATAGTAATGAGCAACACAAATGCGCATTTTACATTGCACAGAAATCTTCCAAATGAGCCAAACTGATCTGAATCACAGTAGTAAAACACACTATCTATGGTGCTACCCCTGTCAACCTGTGACAATACAAGTGGCGACAAGGATCAGCAAGCCCCCTTTCTCCCCTTGGAAATGGCAGCAGGAGCATCCCCTCCTTTTATCTACAGCTTCAGCAGACCCAGGTTCTTAAGCCATAGTTTGGTGTAACTGTATGAGTGGTTCAGTCCCAAGTTACTCTTCTCCTTTCCTACAACCTTTGGTGTCCTACAACTTCAATCTTACAGTTATTTGTTCATTGGAATCCTCTTCAGGATCAGTTACTCCTGATCACAGTTTCAGCTTTTCTTTGCTGCCACAGGGACTAGACAATTAGAGAGGATGTGAAAATTAAAATTGATTTCAACCCCTAAACCTTCAACCTAAGCTAGCACAGCTATGCACCAATCCAGATGTTCCCAAACAGTGGCTTGAATGTCACCACCTACATGTAAATTACTTCCAGTGTATCTGTCTTGCACAGAGAGAAGAGCAACGGCAACTCCTAAATCTGCCAGTACTCACCCGAGCTACTACTTCCATCCACAAAGGTTACTAGTAATTAGTAGTCACTTACTATTACTGGCAGTCATAGCATGCCCAAGCCCCCACCAGGTTGGATTAATGGCAGAAAGGGAAGTAGAAGAGATGGAGCTGATGTTTGGACAAGGGATTAGCTTGTGGTACTAAACTGCAGAAGCAGACACATTCAGATGGTGAGGGCAGGTAAGTCATGCAACTGGGATTTCATTTTAAGGGACACCATGATACACAACAGAAAGATCTTGAAGAATTGGGTGGAGAATCAGTCACTCAGTAAAGACAGCAGAAGCCCAAGCAAACTACACCTTAATCTACCCTAGTTTGTAGTCACCTTAACTGCTAACCCTTCAGAACACCAGCTAGCCCCCTGCCAGCAGAGGCATGCTGCTGGCCTTTTCTGGAAAAAAGTCCTTTTCACAGAATTTCTCTTGATTACTGATAACAAGGCTTGGGGGAGGGGGGGGGAGGGGTGGGAAACAGTGTTTTGTGGTTTTCTAACTTGCTGATAATATTTCAAAAGATTAAAGAAAAAAAAAAATCTCTAGTTCTTCCAGCAATTCTCCCTCACAGGTTCCTAATTGCAGTGGAAATAACGAGAGAGAAGAGTATGGCTCTAATAGGAATGTGAGATGTGGTAAGAAGTAAGACAAAATTTGGCCCACACAAGAAAAGAGGGAGGAATCACCCTTCTTGTGAAATAGAGATAGATATTGATGCACATATAATCTAGGAAATTACTTTCTGTCAATTTATTTTAAAAAAGTTATTTGTGCCAATCATATTCCCTATAAATGAAGTGCACAGTACCTTCCTCTTTCAGCCTTTCTTCTTTCTGTAATCTCAGTTGTTCAGCTTTGATAACTTTCTTTTTGCCACTCGACTTCATGTTTGCAATAAATTAAAAGAAAACAAATGTCAATATTATTTTAATACATTTTGGGAAGTACTATAACTTTGCCCTTCTAATGTGATCCCTGAATTAGGATTTTAGACACCCTACACAGTCAATGAAGCCTCCAGAATGGCAATCCACATCTTGGACTCAATTTTCTTCTCATTTGCATGATGCAACATATGCTCTTACAATTAATATATTATTCTATGCTAGACTTTCCATAATATGGCCACAATAGGAGAACATTAAAAAAATAGATGTTACAACTTCAAACGTTTTAGGAAATAACAGGAAATGTGTTTTGGGACATAGGCAAGTCTGGTGTTTACAAGCATCTAATTCACAAGACAACTAACAGAATTCTATTTTTTGTTGCAAAATCCAAACTGCAAGTCAAGACAGTTAACTGTTCAACCTCAAGGCTAATCCAATAATAACTATATTGTAAATTTGAGTTTCTCAGAAATTCTCTTCCTCATCAATTCTTTGCAGTCTAAGTATACATTTAAAAAAGATAAAAGACAAGGTAAGTAACATGCAAAATCTACTGTCATGTAACAGATTAATCAAAATAGAACATTTATTTTTGTCCTGTAATTCACAGCATTCATAGACTCCTCACTGATGATACACATAAAAATTTGATAATTGGATCTGTGTATCTGATAATTTAGATTTAGGGTATATTCAGATTAGGTACAAGGAAGAAATTCTTTCCTGTGAGGGCGGTGAGGCGCTGGCCCAGGGTGCCCAGAGCAGCTGTGGCTGCCCCCTCCCTGGAAGGGTTCAAGGCCAGGTTGGACGGGGCTGGGAGCACCCTGGGCTGGGGGAAGGGGGCCCTGCCCAGGGCAGGGGGGTTGGAGCTAGATGGTCTTTAAGATCCCTTCCAACCCAAACCATTCTGTGACTCTGATCTGGCACATGAAGCCATGCTGTCTTCAAGAGGAAGTGGAAAGCAGAATTCTCTTTGGATTTGAAGATATTTGCTAATGGCCCCTCACTTTTTCCTCACCAGAAAAAAAAGAAGATCCTTGGATGGGTGGCGTTTTTTAATTATAAATTTGTTTGGGTTTTGTATTTGTTTGTTTTTTGTGTTGACACAGTCTTGGGACGCTTAATCAAATGTGTAGGATCAGCACTGTCACTACCAAACAGCACTCAGACACACAGACAGAAAATACTGATTTCCTGTTAATGCAGTTGCAAAAGCAGCCTAAGATTGCAGCCCTCACCAAGCACATAGTTACTAAGGACTAAATTATCTTTATTCAGGTTTACTCAGTGTTTACACAGGTAACACTGCCATTGTATTGCATGTATAATACATCTGCAGTCCTTGTGCCTTGACTCCATCTGGGGTTGATGGAATGGTACCAGAGAGGAGTGCTGTTCCTGAAGGCAGATGCTACAAAGGCAAGGCCCAAATGTAGATTTAAAAAAAAAGAGGGGCGTAGGAGAAAGAGGGCCAGGAAGTAAATCAAAACAAGTTTGTGGAGCTTGTAAAAACAAGGAGGCTGATTTTGTACTGAACTGCAAAATTAATTCACTGCCAACATTATTGTTTATGAGTGGGATAGATAAGGCTGTTTTTTTGTATACATGAGAAAATAAACCACGCAATTCTGCATAGGCTCCAGCATATGGAGAAAACAAAGAGTGAGAACAGCCTAAACTAAGGTTGAAAGCAAAGGTATGGATGACAAAAGACATCAAGGAAAATAAATTACTTGCATTTGGTGGTATATCTATATACTGGCTGAACATTGGCATTCTGCCACTGACACATAAAAACGAAAGACAATTAAATCAAATGTTCACTTTTTTAAAACATCGAAAATATGGAACGTAAATGGGTTCAGAGTGCAAGACAATGTGAAAAGAGGAGACACATCCTCTACCTCAGCATCTGACCTGGATTTTGCACATCAGAGAGGTGAATCCCAAGTCCCCATGCCATCAGGGGTGAGAGACAAGGGCTTACAAGGATTCAATCAGGTAAGGTATAATGACTAAAACAGTATGAGTTTCATCCACAGTGTCAGCAAGAGACTATAACTGGACAGTATCACAATCTAGACAAGCACAAAGTATCAAAGGCATCTGTTAAGAATACAATTCTCCTCTTCCGCAGAGAAATGGGTACAGAAAGGTACCAAACCAGCACAGTAGCACAGTGCCCATCCTGCAGAGCTGTAAATGAGGCAATAAAGAAAGAGGACCAACAAAGCTGACAGGGAGAGACAACAAAAGAGGACTTAAGTCCAGACAGCTGCAAATAAACACGATGGTATTATGAAGTCTTCTCACCCACTCCACTCAAGTATTCCTAATAACTTGGTAAATATTGTTAAAAGCAATCCAACTGACAGGGAACTTGGACATCATCAAGGAGAATCTTTGCCTTTCATCACACAGAAAGTATGTTACAAATACTGTCATTTCACATTTTGATTTTGACTAGTATATTTTCAGATAAAAATAACTACTTGGAAAGCTATTCACTTCACACTACTTTGCATGGCAACAAATGTATGCAGAAATTAACTCTGAACGCAAAGGTTACCACCAAGCTTGAACAAAAACAGTGGTGAAAACTTAGTGCCAGCAACAAACGTATACCCATCAGAGTTAGTGCGCATCTTATCACATTTGTTACCAAAGCGTTTGATTTGCAAAATAACAGAATTGTGCTGGCACACTATCCAAACAAACACTGCAAGGGTCAAAATCCTGTATGTGAACTACTGCATATTTCTGCCTACCTACCTTTTTTCCCTTTTTTCGACCCTAGAAGATCAGAGGGGGAAAAAAAAAAAAAAAAGGAAAGTGAGCATCAGAGAACAAGGCATCAAGTATTAAGGAATAATTAGAAAACACAACTGTTCTGTAAAATTAGATGAGATTAACTACTGAAAAATTATAATGCCAATTATTTCAATATTGCAGAAAATGAGCCATTAACACATGACTCCAGACCATCATAATTTATCAGGCTAGATTACATTTAAGGTTATAGAAGTACATCTACTTATTCCCACTGTTAAAAAATTAATGTACGGCAAACATGTAATTTAGTTTGAGATACAATTTGGTCAAAATATGTTTTCTGAACTGATTAATTGATACTGTGTGCTACTCCAAAGAACACTAAATTACATCATGAAGCGATCCAGAAAAACACAGAAACACCATCGGAGCCTTCTATTATTTATGGGTAAACAGCACATGAAGTGAAAAAACAAAACAAAACAAAAAACAAACAAACAAACAAAAAACAAACACAAAAAAAACCTACGAGTCTTCTCCAAATGACCACAGGAAATAGAAACAGGTTGTAGGAAGCCAAACACCTAACAACAAACCCCTTCGCTGGTTTACCGAATAATTACTTTTTCTCTGCAGTGTGTGAATATCGCCATGCGAATTGATATAACTTCGGTGGGATTAATTACCCACGTAAGCACATTCCCTGCGGGGCGGGGCGGGGGGGGAAGGCGAAGCCAGGCTGCCCGGGGGAACGCAGCGAGGTTTGTTTCGGCAGAGCGACTCTAACAACAAACGAGGTTTCAGCCGCCTCCAAGCCGGGCTTCACGCTAAGCAGCCGCAGGAACAAACCCCCGCGGCAAGAAACTAGACCGGGGCATTGCAGAGAAGTTAACGCGCCCTCCAGGTGATTTTTCAAAGCCTTACACCTCCCCCCACCCCACGCACTGGTACTGCAGCAGCACACGGGGAACACGGAAGCCCAGGCCCCGCCGCCCCACCGCCGCTCCTCCTGCCTTCCCCGCTTTACCCGCAGCCGCTTGGAGCCGCACCGCGGTGGGGACGCCCCGAAACCCCCCGGAGTCCCGCTCCGCCAGCCCCGCCCGCTCTCACCATGGCGCCGCCGCGTTGCCGGGGCGACCAGCCCTTCCTCCCACGTGCTTCCCGGCCGTTACGGCTCTGCCGTAAAGCGGCGCCAGCGGGGAGCCGGTGAGGCCTTGACCTTCTCCTTCGCGGCGGGGACGGGGCGTGGGGGTCGTGTCCGTGTCCGTGTCCGTGTCCGTGTCCGTGTCCGTGTCCGTGTCCGTGTCCGTGTCCGTGTCCGTGTCCGTGTCCGTGTCCGTGTCCGTGTCCGTGTAATCGCCAGGGGCACCGGCCCCCGTAGGCAAAGCAGGGGGGGAGGCGGCAGCTCCGGCCCCCCGCTAGTGCCGTCTGCGGAAGCGGGGCTGGCTTCCAGTTGCTTTTATTTACCAAAAAATCGGTTTACTTCGTTGCTAACGCGTTTTTTTTTTTAAAAAAAACAAAACAAAACAAAAACAAACAAACATTACGTTTTGCCTCTATACACTGGCCTCAATTCGTAATGTGTTTAGACGATTTTTAGAAATAAGTCTTTACAAATGCAAAAGTTGCGGGAATTCCTAGTTTTATTTATATATATATATATTTAGCATTGTACCTGTGTATATAAATGTAAGTGTTCCTTCAGCAGAGCGCAGGCACAGCCACAGGCCAGCAGCCCGGTGGGGCAGGGGAGCCCATCAAAGCTGCCGGGGCACGGCCTGAGGAAAAGCGAGTGTTAAGAGTAGCCAAAGTTTCTGTAAGTTTCTTGGTTTGTGTTTGAGATGAGGGCAGGTGGAAGGGGAAAGGGGAGAGGTGCTAAATGGAAGCTGAAGAAGCCAGAAGCAGAAGAGACGGAGAGTAGGATCAGAAAGTAACAACAGTTGGAGCAAACGGGGCTCGGTGAGGTAACGGGGGTCTGGATAGAAACCTGCTCCTGCGCGGGACGAGGCGGGATGGATGGGCTGCCGCCGAAGGCTAATGTCAAACTGGTTATTCTTCAGGTAAAAAAAAAAAAAAAAAAATCAGACGAGAATAGAGTTCACTGAAATGTGAGAATGGCCAATTCTTTAAGAGGTGAAGTGTTGAATCTATACAAAAATGTAAGTGTGTCTTAAATGCCACAAGCACTTCCCTTAACCAGACAAAACCCCTTCTCCACACACTCGTGTTTATTAAAAAGAAAAAAACTTTTTTCTTTTTTCTTCAAGCTGCTGTACCTTGGAAGGGAGTATCCCAAAGGAGCGGACTACTTTAGAAGCCGTTTGAAAGCAGCTTTTCTTAAAAATAAAGATGTGAAAGATCCTGAAAAAATTAAGCAACTAATTGCACGAGGAGAATTTGTTATAAAAGAGTTGGAGGCTTTGTACTTTCTCAGAAAATACAGAGCTCTGAAACAGCGCTACTACAGTGATGACAATCAGTAACTGGTGCTAACGACCGCATGTAACGATACAAATCCATTAACAATAAAAGAGCTGTAACCTCAAAAGAAATGAAACGTAAGTCATTCCAACCCATCTAAAGTACAAATTAGGACTTTGCTTCCCCTGAAGTAGTCGCCTGAAGGATTTGGGTTTTGTAATATAGGGGTAATAGCTTTTTCTCACCAGCTTTTGGCCTCCCTGAGCTAAAACTTGATGTATGAAACAATTTTGCAGGAATTTTCATGGTAATACGATTCTGCTGTTTCACTTTGATACGCAAGTTGAACAGGTAGCTCGTCATGCCCGACAGTGGTGTGATTGAACACCGACTGAAAGCGCCACACTTCTCTGGTTACTTAATCTGGCTTTGAAAGTCTTCCACCTTTAATGATTCATTTCCACCATAAATGAGCACCTCCTCAAAAGTAAAGTAGATTCTTAAAGTTTCTAACTACATCTGCTTAACGTGCAAGAGTGACGTTGTCAGGCTGGTGGAGGCGCTGCCTTACTGCATTAGAAAGACGGCTGCGGTGTCAGGAAGGGGGTGAACTTGAACTGTAGTGGCTTATGCACTTAGACCCTGAGGAGAATTCCTGCTGCTGCTGCTTTCTGACATTGTGTGACTGCTGTCACAGGAATATAGAACTTGATCCTTTCCCTTGGAAGAGAAGGATGACCGTAAACGTTTGCTCCATGGCTCTGTAGACCTTGGTGTGACTAGCACAAACCTGTGCCAGAACCGATGCTCTAGGGTGGGTTGGTTGGCATTTCCACTCCCCACCTCAAGAACTGAATGACACTGGAGGCAGAACAGAAATAATCTTTGAAATAGAGGTAAGTAATCACTGCAGCAGAACTGTTGGCAATAGCAAGTCTTCACATGCATAAATTCCAGAATAGAATAAAAAAAAAAAAAAAAAGGCAAATTACCATATGCTACCTTGTGATGAAATGTATGTGCTTTAGTTTCTAGCACCACACTGATCTGAAAAAACAATCCTTCCACATCAACTTTACTTCTCTACAATATGATGCAATTAAACCTGTTCCAAATGAATACGTCCATATACAGAATTTAACCTGCCCTTCTCAGTAACTGATAAAAGATTATCCAGACAGGGTAGCAAAGGGCCAAAGCATAAGTTTACAGAACAGTAGCAGATTCACACTTTTTTCCCCCCATAGGACACGATCACTACTAAAGAATGTCTTTCCTATTTTCTGTAAGTTTATGGAAGGCGTTTGATAGATGAAAACAAATGTGCACCCGGGAATGAACACCGGATAGCTGTTCAGAGTATTTTAAGCTTGCAGAGCAATTCAGATCAAGCCTGCGGTTAGAGTGGTGAAGAGAAGGTCCCTGGGGTGCCCAGCGAGGGCACAGCCCGAGTGAGAGAAGCGCCACCGCACCCGACGCGGGGCCCCGCTCACCGCAGGGACGGCCGGGACCGGCGGCGCCGGGTGGGTGCGATCAAGCGCTCTGTACGTGTGCGAGGCACAGCACCCCCTCCCAGCGGGGGGGAACACGGGTGGGCAAGGGCAGCGGCTCTGTGACAGGCCGGGCGAAGCGCCAGAAACAAACGGAGAACGGCCGCCACGCGCAGGGGAGCTGTGGGATAGCTCCATTATCCACAGGATAGCCACGGGATGCTGAGGTTCCTGGGCAGAAAAAGGCAACCGGGACAGAAGCTCACAATAACTGTATTTTATTACATTACAATAAATAGGAGCAGTACAGTTTGACAAAAAAATGACAAATTCCAGATCACCTCACAGCACATACTCCTAAAAACATTAAAAATTTTAAAACAAACAGTGGTCTTTTTTTTTTTTTTTTTTTTTTTTTAACTTAATGTCTGGTATGACCAACATTCCTAGGTCACGCAACCAAATGATGGAAAAACTGGATCACACTGCATATGTTCCACATCAAATAAAGCACAATGTACAAAATGTGCATGTTTCAGTTTACACTATACAAAAATAGTTAAAATACATTCCAGGTAAACATATTACATTAAGAAGTCATTCTAGTAAGAAGTTGGCACTCAAGAGGAAAAAGCAGAAGTATTTTCAACATGAAAACACAAGACAGTGGAATAAAGAAATGTTAGGAAAGATTTACCATCTATGTAGCTTTATGTAAACTTGAGACAAAATGATTTGTTTACAGTTTGATGGTCTTTGACGGTAATAATTGTATTGCATCATAGCATAGATAAAAGCAGAAGATTGTGTGTCAGTATTTACCCATTACAGAGATACTGTAACAAAAACTATACAGTGAGACTTTTTTTAGGTTAGCAAAAATTTTAGGGCAATGAGACTGGTCAAAACAGTTACATTTCCATTTTGAGAAAACCAATGATAAAAGTTGTTTACCAGAGTTACATAAAGCTACTGTTAGAGGGCGTTACTCCCTGACACATGGCAATTTAATGTATTAACGTGGTAAGTGATTCACATGTTCATTTAGTAGTTGCTATCAGAACAGACCGCATCCAGGTCTGTTCTTCGAAAGCATTTCAAATAGGGAAAGACAGAATAATTATGAGATCAACTTGTGCAAGCTGCAATCCAACATGCTTCACCAAATCTCAACAAATACTAAGACAAAACTGCACAACAGTGGCAAGGATGTGTATTTTTTTTTTTTAAAAAAAGTAGCAAATAACGGCTAATCTAAATAGATTTTGTACTAATTTAATTAGGTTGGTAGCTACAAATCACATTTACTGAAAAAAACCACCCCTATTTTATATATAGCTTTATATTAGAGCTATATAAATCCACATTTTATGATTAAGACATTTCAGCTGTAATTTATCCTCACAGTTTTTAGTTAAATTAAGAATTTTAGACCAGCCCTAATTTTACATGCAGTGTGACTCAGTTACCAAAAATCTTAAGATTACTTCCATTTGCTCAAGGTATACTATCCACTTTTGCTACGTTCTTCATATGTAATCAAGAGTGTCTAAAATGTGCACGTCTCCAAAATGTTTTTTAACCTTGGAAGCTGTAACATGTTTTGTGACATTAGGAATCTGTTCTTAAGATATAGTGTTAGGTTCTCCTATTACTGTTTTTCAGAATATTTCATAATCTCTATTTCACACGGAAGCTGAAAGGAGGGGAGCAGGTCGGGTCTGGGTTTTGGTGGAGGGTAGGAAACGGGGCACAGGCAGGGAAAGGCATTATTTCTCTCAGCAATATTAAAATTAAAGAACACGCAGCAATTCAGACAGTATACATCCCCTGCCAGCTTTGCAGCTCTCTATGAGAGTCACTGTGTGTGTTGGTTGGTTGTATTTTGTTGGTTTGTTTGGTTTTTTTTTTTTCCATAGAAGCAAAAGAATGATTTTATCATGCAGTTGCACCTTTGACATCATATAAATGGTCCAAGTTACACAGGTATATGAAAATTGTACTGTGTAAAACTTCCGCATAATTGTTTAGGCATACCTTAGGTTAGGGCAATGCTGCTATTCCCTGTTCCAAACTTTCCAGTGTTCTCAACTATCCTACTACAATGTCTTGTGTTTTATTTTTTCAGGTACACCTGAGTCACATTTTCAGATTTTACTCTGCAGCTGAGTTAGGTACTGTGAAGAAGTGTACCTTCAGGAACCCAGGCCCTTATGAAACAATCAAACAATGCAACATTTACAGTAAGACAACAGGAACTGGCAACACTGGAATTACTGGCTTTGACTTTAGTGCAGAATAACTAGACTACTGCAGTACCAAAAAATGAAAGCTTCTGCCGAAATTCTGCATTAATTCCAATCAGAAAAAAAGGGGTGGGGGGGTAAAATCACGAGAGAACTTAATCACAGAGAAAGACAACATTAAAATCTTGGTCTAGCTTCATGACAGTCTAGACACTGGAATGCCACTCACCAACCATTTAATCTGTGCAACGAAACTAGTACTTCACAAACATCACACAAACAACACTGACTCTGGAAACCATGTTCTATGCTGACAGTTTGTGCAAATTCCACACCATTTTTATGGCAAACTGGATTTCCAAATTATTTGCATGAAGCAGCTAAATTCAACTCATTCACTCATTTGATGTTACTAGAATTTAAAATCCCTCCCCTATTTTGCACAAAATGGGCATCTGGAAATATTTAATGCCACTCTCGGGGAAAAAAGGAATGGTTTTACTTCACTGTATAATTTAGGATTCATTCTGATTTAGTTCTCATGGTAAATTCTGGATCCACGTATGAATTAACCTAAGAATTTGAATCAACTGATCTGTTAAGGCTTTCTAGTATTTCCTAGAGACAGTAAGGGTGAAATCTTGTACCTACTGAACAAAGCTACTTAAAGATTTGCCACTGGGGGTCAGGAGAGCTAGGATTTCACCTTGGTCTTCAGACACAAAAGGTTAGTGAAAGTCTTAAAGAAATGAATTAACAATAGCAAATCAACCTAATTAGAACTTTTACTTTTTCCATTGCCAGATGTGCATTGTTGTCTTTTTTTAATTTTTCTTTTTTATAGAAAAAATAGAGTATTTAAGGAGTGACCGTGACAAATTGCAGTGAAAAATTTTTTTTTGTGAAAGTTTTATCTTTACATTCATTAAAGTTGATCTGAGATGCTACAAGACTAGATGCCTAGAAGCAAAATCTACAGGAAGACTATAAAGGCTTCTGGTCTTTCTATATTGCAGTCAGTCTAAAGTAAAAGAAAGGCTAAAATGAAAGTCTCTTTTTGCTAACTAGTCCTTTTTCCCAACCAGATTTAAAAACCAAAAAATCAAAGGGGATGTTAGAATGTGCAGAGCATCGTTTCATTGTTTGGTTTGCACACAGAACAGAAGTTCACAATCAGTAAGAAAAATAGGAAGTTAGCAACTGTGCATGCACCGAGTCCTAAGACAGTTCTCAGGTTTTTGTGTGTTTTTTTTTGTTTGCGCTTTTTTTGTGTTGTTTTTTTGTTTTTTGTTTTTTTCACAGGCATTGCTAGTTCAAGAACCAACAGTCAAAGAATACTGGCACTTTAAGAGGAATGAAGTTTCCACTGTCATTTAAAACAAGCATTCAGGTAAAGCTAACAGGATCATGAAGCAGAAAGTAAAGTAATGCTAAAACAAATGCTAATAATTTAGTGTAATGTACAAAAATTACTTAAGTACTTCTTAAGAATAAGGATAAATTGTATTTACATAATTATACACTTTGTCTTTGTCTTCTTTTTCTTCTTTTTACCATCTTTGCTCATCTTCTCTTTGTGTTTTCTGATTTCTCGAACTAATGTATAGAAGGCATCATCAACACCCTGAAAAGATACATACATGCACACATTAAGATCACATTAACAGACTTACATGCCTGCTTAGGTTCAGCCTGTTTCCATCTGACCTGATCAGGTGAAGTGTGTTCAATCAGCAGTCTGTTTCGCTGCCTGCCAGGAGAGGTTACACTGTCTTCTCCTTTCTGAGGCTCTTATGTCCCCCTCGAGTAGGCTGTGGGTTGGAGGAACTGCCGAGGCAACAATCCTCTCAAGCGTTCCTGTTCCTTGGGAAGGGGTGTGCTGGGGAACACCTACTCGGGCGGCAGGGGAGCTACAGTGGTCTCCTGTCGTGTAAGAGGAACACACCTGACTGCACGAGTGTGCGTGGGCAGAGGGGCCTGTGGGAGAGCAGCTCTGGGGAGTGGGCTGCCCTCCTCTGGACCATCCACCCTGGCTCCAGGCTGCCGAAACAACCACCCGAAGGAGCTGTTCTGACGCCCGCTACCACCTGCCTGCCCTCCTTCTCAGCCCTTCCCCAGAGTGGGGAAGTCACCCCACAGGTGACTCCCTGCTCGGCAGCTGACCACGGATACCCCACAGGGCCAATTCCATTATTAATGTGGCAAGGAAAGTCATTTAGTGTCTTGCCCTCTTCTCCATCTCAAAGAGGGCACATGTTGTCCCACCTCAAACTAGAAAAGTGTAGGTACCACGTGTTTAGATTATAAATATGTAATTACCACAGAATGAAGTTGTGAAGCATTAGTTAGCTTTGTTTATGCCTTAATAATCTATGTGCAACTTTAAAAAGTGAACACAAATATCTGTAGCAAGAATTCAATATCAAAAACATAGTTATCATTAATCTACATATTCAGGTCATTTCTCAGGCTCACTGATATAGTAATCACACCACAGTTTTCTAAATCTTTACATATGCAAATCAATCAAATCAACCCCACGTTCCAATGATAAATTATTATTTGATAAATCATTTATTCAACTTATATAGTTAAAGACACATGGAACACATTACCTGTGGTGCTGTATTATGTACAGTCACTTAAAATCTCCACGGCTCCAATAGTTAAGCTACAGACAAAAAAGCTAATGTTTCTTCACACTGAGTAGTTTTAAATTTTTTTCAGGGGCAATTCTTGCTGCTCAAGAGAGATGAGCATATCTAAAAGCCTGATACGAACTATTATCAAGTACAATGTTATACAGTATACCTTGTAACAACCTAGTTACCTGAAACAGCCTAGCTTTCAGGTTGCTCCAAATTCCAGTCAAGTACCCATGTTGTCAGTCAGCCTTTATATTTAATAGTTTTGAGTACATTAAAATAAAATATCTTGATTCTTCACTGCCTTAACTCCTTACATTACCTTTTAGATAGATCAAAAATAGTTGTATAATGTTAATGTATCCCAGCAGCCAACTGCACCACTGTAGAACTGGGTGTAGAAATTCAGCCCTACAACTGGCAGGCAGCTTCCTACCTCTTCTCAGCTATAGTTTGCCTTCAAGATGCCAACAAAAATTAACAGTCTCTGTTTATTCCTCTATGCCTAGGTCAGTAAAAAAAAAAACAACCTGAAAGTGAACTCTGAAAAAAGCACAACAACAAAAAGCCAAAAATCACCCAATTCATTACTGCTTCAAACACCAAATGTTGATTAAATTAATATGCAAAGTCCAAACAACAGTGAGGTGTTAAACAGCTTCACTTACAAAGCAATGCTCCCAGTAAAACCTAAATTGATTTATTTAAAACCCTCACATTCACATTCATAAAACATTTACAAAAGTTGTGAAGTCCTTGGCAGCCTATCTCCCAATACTAACAGCTCACTTTTGCAAGATCTTGTAATATTTAAAGTACACTTGCAAATAACTTATTCTACATTTTTAAATATTACTGATCAATATAAAATTGATGTAGCATTCCTAACGGAAGAGTAGCCTTAGTCCCGGAAAAGGTCATGTCCCCCATGAATCTTCTGAGAATTAGAAATGCTCAGTATTCTTTTATAGAGAGCTGGTGTATTTTGCTTGTAACTTCAGCATTAATACATGAAGTGAATACTTAGCAATGTAGGGAAATGATCTAGAAGTAGTGACGGTTCTCATCGCAGCCAGATAGGAGGACAGTATTAAGAATCAATCAACAGAATAACAGTTTCATTCCTGGAACACAAGAATGGTCTAAAAAAATCTTTGCACAATGTTCTGCAAGACTGTTCACATTTCGTTACAAAACTACCCTTCAGTATTTCACACTCGTCATTAATGTGTTTGAAAAATACTCATTACGAGGGCAGTCATTGGCTTTTGGTGGTGTCTTCATGTGAGACATGCCTAAACAAAAATTGCAATTTAAATCTCTGAACAAGCAACCCCCCCTCATTAAACTGATTTTAGAATAAATACAGAAAAAACTTGACAAAGTAATATCCAGAGACTATTGTGGGCCTTTAAACACATGACTTCACAATTAAGGCGGAAATCTTTATTCTACCTAGTAAGGTGATGATCTTTTAAATATAGCACATGTTGCAAAATACTAGACAATTGACTTAGCTTTTGTTCTTGTATTTACACCTTTGTAGATCAAGCCTTTAAAATTATTAATTATGTATTTATAGTTTGGTCCTGCCATAATTCCTCTTAAATTCAGATAATGAATATAACATGACATACAAAACCACAGTTAGAATACTTGTGAATTGGAACTGGAGAACTCAAGATAAACTGAGGTCTTATACTTAAAATTTAATCCACAGACTGAAAAGTGAAAGTAGTGGATACTCTGTTTATAGAAGGTCCCTAAAGGCATCTGCTGTAAGGTCAAAGGCAGTCAACCTTTCTAGTTACTTCTTTCAGTAAGAAGAGGCTGCATGCAGCTGACTTTCCTCCCTCTAACAATGGAGTTACTGTGTGCAAGCTTTTGGGAAAGTGTAAGATGTACTGAATGAGTGCTTTAAATCCAGGCTCAGGATTAGAAACTGAAATTTTCTGTGCAGGCCCAGAACTATACCACACTGCCTTGATAAAGGTGCACTGATGGAGCTTGCTCCTGGCACTTCTTTTTCCAAAGGGCAACGCTGAGAGGCAAAAGGAACAGAAAAATCAGAACTGTTCCCACAGAAACAGCCTGCTCCTGGCCACGACCTTTCTCTGGAGCTCCACATGGTCCCATGACCATACAGCAGTCTGGGTATGTGGCTGCATGGTTACAAGCATGCATAAGACTTGGCAACTAACCTGGCTACCAATAAGAAACCCTAAATTCATAAAGAACTGGGAATTCCTTAATACCCTGGACCCAAAAAACAGACCCTTAAACAAGTTTTAAATTGTAGAAAAGGCTTTTTTTATATATGTTTTAATATGTAACACATATATACAGACACATGTAACAGTCACAAGGAAGAGAAATCATTTGTACACCTCTGTAGTACTATGGGAAAAAATCATTAAATTACAGCTTTAATCAAGAATTTAGAAAATTGTTAATTAAAATCTAGAACTTTTATCAAACTTTTTACTATTAACCCATCTCAATCTGAATTACATTATCTAGATGTCTAATTTATGCCCTAGAGAAACTTTTTGCTACAGTATGCTTTTTATGTAAAAAACTTCAATGCCTTCAAGAAAGATCTTATGAGGATTTTTATACCGAGTTTTAGAAATCTCTTCTTCCTAGTTGGAAATTACAAATGGAGCAAGATTTTATGTACTTTGTGCTTTACTGTGTAACAGCCAAAGGAACAAGCCTCTTGGAAAGCATCAGCAGTTAATGGTAATCTGGGTAGTCAAAGTTTTCAGTTAGTTTGTACAAGATTAATATAACTAAGAAGGCACCCCATAAGCAGCAAGATTAACTGAATATTCCAAGAGGTAGCAAAACACTCTGAACCATCAAATTTGATTATCCACAGACAAAAAAGGAAGATAAGTACTGTCTATCGTTGCACACTGTGTTATAATATTTTTGAAGACTAAAATCCCAGCTGACAGACTCACATCACTAGGTGCTGTTCTCCTTAGCTATCTGCTATGCAGCAGACCGAAATAATATGTATCTTCTTACTGAATGGAAAGTAATACAAGCCAGACTGTTTCAAATGCCAGACTTCTTATTCCACTAGAATCACTACTGAACTACAGCTGTACCACAATAATTTTGGAATATGCTTTCTCCAGCTTAACCTCCTAAATACAAAATTGCTGAAATGACTACCAATACTATGTAGAATTCACTTGAGTATAAAGACAAATATTTCCTCCTCTGAGCAGACTCTTGAAGTTCTAGAGTCTTATATCTAAGATTTTCTAAATAGAGTAGAGAGGGAAAATAAAACAACACAAAACAACAACAACAAGAAAAACACCACACAAAGCCAAAAATCCAACAATATCCATTGCTCACAAAAGATATTTCCCCCATCTGGGGAAAAAAAATAAACATGCACAAAACCCCAAAATCATACTTCTCTTGGACTCAGGCAGAAAGAAAGTAGGAAGCTGGTAGAAAGAAAGCATATGTTCACTGAGCTATCAAAAAGAATCTTAAAATCTGAAAAGATGCAAAATAATGAAAACCACAATTCCCATCATCCTGTTCTCCTTCTCCCAAGGAAGTACACAGAAAGGAAAAGCAGACAGAATTCAGGATCTTTAAAGACCCGGCATACAAAAAGAAATCCTACTTGAGTTATGGCTATGTTAGTAAGACAGCAAGAAACAGTAAAGTTGGATTTCAGATGGCTACAGGAAGTAGCCTTAAACAATTTAATTCATATTGCTGTCATCAAAAGTAATCTTGCCACGCTGCTGTTAGTTGTTTTTTGATAACCAGAAAAGAATAAAGCAAGGTATTTTAATGGCATCAATTTTATTGATATTTGGATGCGAGACTGGGGAGCTTTGTAACTGAAGCTATCAGTTTCCTGCAAAGGAAACCTTTGATACAAACAGTATCACAAAGGGTATCTTGTTTTTCAGGAACCTCTAAAGAGTTCTCTCAGAACAGTCAT